TGCTACTACTGTTTACGGGGCTAATTTCTATTCTGGGGAAACAAGACAAATTGACTATGATAAAAGGCACTCAGCCCGGGATCGCTAAAGATGATCTCGGATGATATTACGCAGAAAGTCCAAAAATAGTAGATAGGATGGACTTTGGGTCCATAGTCACACAGAGTCATGTATACTTACACAGAATTGATAGGGGCAGGCGCGGATTTGTTACAAAGTTAATTATGGTTTTAACTTTAGTAATATATAATATATGTATAGTTTACAAATTATTTAAAATTTTTTTTTTAATGGGCTCATACCTAATTTTTATTAATTTTCAAATTATATTTATACAATTGCACAAAGTGTATACATAAGAATATATATTTGAAGATAAATAAAGAATTCGATAAGTTATAGCTACATCAAGGTTTATTACTCTTTTTTTAATAAAAGAAACCAGCATCCTATAGAGTATGCTAGTATTATTGAAAGAAAAATAAAAAAAAATAAAAGAAGTGATTATATACTATATTGAAAGGATAATTGTGATATTTCTAAATAAATGACTATTCTGTTTTCTAGGTCCTCCTTATAATAGTGATTTGAAGGAGCTTCTATAGAGTCTTTACGAAAATAAAATAGAAGTAAAAAGAAAGATTTTACAGTTTTAAGACTTGTGAAAAGGGAGTAATAAAGAAGACCCAGGTGATATATTAGTATCTGTATAAATAATTTAAGAGTCTCCCAATATATTATTAACTAAACAAATTTCTATCTACTGTAAATATGAGTATATTTATTTATTTGTGCAATATATTTTAAATTTAATTTTTTAGAGAAGAACTACACCTAGCCTCATGATTGGTATACCTTGCTAGTAGCCATTGATATTAGCAATCAATAAGGATATCCCAGATAATCTAATTAATTCACACATTACTACTGATATTTTCATACTCAAGTTTTGATTGATGTGACAGTATTAATATTTTAATCTTCCAACTTGAGGTTTTTTAAAAATAGGATGAAAACTTTTTGGTTTACTATGTGTATTAGCTTTACTATTGAGTATTCCTAATCATTTTTTTTGCTTTTTCCATTTGAGCTTTTCCATACAATAGGAGCTGGGACCTACTTGATATATAATTAGAAGTAGATGGTTCTAATTTAAAAAAGTTAATCAAGCTTTTGTGACCTTTACCATGATTAAATGGACTCTTTCTTGTATTTAAAGATGTATTGATAACATTTTTTGTATTTACTTGAATTAAGACATATAACTTATAATAGATCCTAGGTTTTTATGGAACTGAGGAAATGTATTCAGACATGTAAGGTGGTTAATGAAAGTTTATTTATATTTTTTTCTGATATAATTCTACTGGACCAATTAGCTTATATAGAACTTTGTACTATTTAAAATTTAGGGTGAAGCTGAGATACGCAAAATTCCTCAAAAAAGATTGAGAAAGAGCACTATTAGAGTCCATACAGTGAAAAAGAGAGAAAAAATTAACTCTATTACTATAAAAATAACTCTATAGTATTTCTTTGTATACCAGATAGGTAGCAAAACATCAGTTCTTCTTTCTTTCAGAACTTTCTTGCCATTGGTAAGAAAAGTATCTTCTAGACTTTTAATTATAAAAGTTTAGTTTTTATTAGAAATAAAATATAAACAGTGTAGAGAAGGAATAAAAGTGTCTCTTGAAGTACTCTTCAAGTTGATTTAAGGAGAGTGATAAAGATAAATAACTATCTGTACTATCTAAGGATTTATAGATTAATAAATAATATAAAAAGCTATCTATTTATATTTTATCTAACAGGATAAGATAATTACATGATTATTTATTATAGATATTTACTTATAAAAACAAATCATGAAATAACAAGAAGTATAAAACTTACACTATGTTAATTTTCTATTTTATACCTTGACATTTTCTAAAGCCTGACTTTTGGCTGCCTACTGAGTAACTTATTGCTATGTCAAAAAGAGGTACTAATATATTAAGAATTCAACTAGAACTAATGACGAGTCCTTAAAGTATTTAGTATATAAAATTTTGCAGATCACTTATATCTCTTTTTGAGAGACAAAATTTATAACTTTTCACTTTAATAGGGACAAAGGTCAAAAAAAGCTATAAATCAATAATTTGAATAATAGAGAACAATTATAGGCAGTTTTTTTATAGTTATTAATGTAAAAATTTTAATGTTTCTTAATGAAAAACATTTGACTTTTGTCTCTATCTCCCCTTTAGGGATTTATCTTTACCTGGGACACCTAGTACCAACAATATTAAGTTCTACTTGTGTGAAGCCTTAACTCTATTAGCACATAATTAAAAATTTTTAAAAAAAGAAAAAGAAGTTGTATTTGAGTTGAGTCTTGTTTAGAAGGATGTAATATTGTTTAGCTAGTCATTAGAGGTAGTTTCAATAAATAGATAGAAGTATCAAAACTTTTCAAAAAAATATTAACCTTAAATATAATGATTATATTTACTGAAGAAGAAATAAAAGGATCGGAGTTGTTGTTTATTCAAGGTAACCTAATTCAGCCTTGTTTTTTTTATATAACCAGTGATGTTATAATTTTTATGTCCTGTATTCATCTGTATGACTGGCATGCAACTTATGATAGACCCCAAGTTCTTATAAGTACTGAGAAAATACATTTAAACATATAATATGACCAATGGGAGCTTTTTTACATTTTTTCACTAATATGTTTTCTGCTAGTCAATTACTGCATGAGAAACTTTGTGCTACTTAAAATTCAGGGTCAAACTGAGGTAGACAAAATTTCTCAAGAAAACTGAGAAAGAGTACTTTAAGAGTCAATATATGATAGAAAAGTGAATGGTTGTCTTTAAAATAAGTCTTCTATTACAAGAAAAGCTCTGTATTGTCTCTTCAATAGATGAGTAGATAGTAGCACTTCAGTTCTTCTTCCTTTCAGAACTTTCTTGCTATTGGTAGAAAAGGTATTTAATAGCTTTGATTACTGAAAGTCATGTTTTTATTTGAAGAAGATTGTTCACAAAAAGAAGGGAAAAGTCAATATGACTCTTGAAATATTACTTCAAGTTGGTTTAAAGAAAGTAATAAGACTTTATTAGTCAAGATATATAAAAACTTCTTGTAAATATCTTTTTTGAGTATGATTAGAGAATCAGTAAAAAAAGTTGTTAGTAATTGGATTTTGTATGAATCAAATTATTTAATAAAATATACAGTATATGACTAATCTAATAAAAGATAAAAAAAAATTATATAGTTTAATCTTTGACTTATAGATCAATAGTGTAGTAGTTAGCACTCTATATATTAGATCATATAATACAAATTTAGATTCTTTAGAATATAATATCTAAAGTTTAATAGAACTTGTATTTAATGGCTTAATTAATAAAAATTGATTTATTTTTCAATATTTATAAATATAGCTATATGAAATTCAGAATTGAAGAAAACTAAATATTAATCTGTGATATAATCCATATAAAAATTGTGATAAAAACAAAGTTGGATAATAGAACTATTGTTAGAAACTTCTTTTTTTCTTTATTTTTACTTTTTATAAATATTTTTAAACTTTTTTTTCTTATTTTATTCTTTTTTATCCTTTTAATATCTTCTTTTTTAATATTGAATAGTTTTTGACTAGTATAAGAAACTCTTAACATTAGTGATACTAGATATCTTGAACAAGTTCTGATATATTAGATCTTTTAGTGAGAGACAATAAGATAATCAATAGATACATTATTATATATTAAATAATATCTAATCTAATAGTTTAGGGAATTTTCTCTTTATTTTTAGAAGAGGCTATTTATACTAGGTAATTATATATTTTTCTTATCCTTATTAAGTTAAACTTGGATCAAGTTATGTAAATAGATAGCTTTTTATACTATTTTCTTTTTAATAATTTATAAATTCTTAGACTGTATGGGAAAATATTCATTCTAATTATTCTTAAGTATAATCTTTTTTTAATAAAACTTTCAGGAACAGTGTAGAATAAGTAAGTCAGTTTTAAAAAAATAAATAAAATAAAATAAAAATTATAATTTGAAGATCAAGATCCAAAATTGGTTAGAATTATCCTAACTTGGTTATATTACTCCTAGTTATAAATTAAAAAAGATAATAAGAAGAGTAGATTCATTTGACTAGTAAAATATTATTGACTTCAAATGCTTAATTATAATGTATTATATAGCCCACACTATCAGAAGATCTTGATAGAAAAAAAATCTACTGACCATTCTAAAGAATCAAAAAAATACTCCATTCATTTATTATATTTGTCTTTTTAGTTTATCGTAACCAACAATAAAGATTTTCGTCCACATCGGGCTTTTGACATAATCTTGCTTCTTATATTAATATACAAGATCCAGTGACCATAAAGATAAATCCCTAGGTAGGATCATCTAAAAATTCCAATATATCATACCCAAGTAAATTTTCTTCTTCACCTAGCAATTGAACACGACCGTTACTTCCATCAGGATACATCAACTGAACAAATTCAAAGTTTTCAGCACAAAGAGCATAAATAACATCTTTTCCCTTCTTTTCTGGAGGTCCTTTCTTACTATTTCGAATATCAATAATTGCCCACTCCTTTGTATATTTAAGAATAGACCATCTTTTCGAAATCTTTGTTGATGTTCTTGCAATTTGTCTCCATCTCGCAATAGTTCAATGGCCCAGTTACGCTGATCATTTATATAAAAATCCAAGTAGCCCACTGATCCAAATATTTCTCCAACATCTACAAAAGCATAAATATCCACAGGAAGAACTTGCATTGATGCACGATAGAACTCCATTTGCCATACGCGTTCAAGAAGACGACAATCATTGCCTACACCCAAGCTTTTTTGTAACACCTTAGAGCTCATTTTTGCGAACACCGAAATGATGAAGTCCTTGAATGAATTAGGTGGTGATTTAGACCGTGTCACTGAACCAAACCGATTTTGAAGATATGTTGCTCGAAGCAATGGTGCTGGAAAGTTAATGGTTGAATAACCTGCTTTTGTCATTCCAGTATCAACAAGAATATTTGTCTTAATAATTCGACTCTTAAGCGGAATTGCATTGGTTAGTATTTCAAGACCTCCTTTCTTGAAGAGTACAGTATCGGCAATTCTCTTTTCTTCATCTAACATATCAGTAATTTTTGGCATTGCACGAATATCCTAGAAGAAGTACACCATATAAAAACTTTCAGTAAATATCAGTCATTAGAATTATTACAAAAATATATATTTACCTTAAAATGATCATTAAAATCACGAGATTTGAGATAAGCAAAAACTTTTGCAAATGTCAAACGCTCAAAAGTGTGTTTGACGAATCTCATATGAATTTGGTTCATAGTAGAGGCAACTAAACCGGGATGGAGAGCTGTTATTTCAGACACATAACAAGAAAGAGGCGGAATGTCTTCTTCTTTCAACATTTGAAGATTTTTCTCACAGAAGTAATTAAAGTAACTATTAAATTCTTCTCTGGTAAAACAAACGTCTTCAAATCCCCACGTGTTGCTTTTTTGAAGAGAGCATGGTAAAATATCCATAATTGCATGATCTCCACGAGCAGTGTAAGCACCATAATGCCCATATGAAGCAAATGCTACAATATGAAGACCTGATAATTGTAGTATGCGTTTAAACGAATTCCAAAATACATTTCCACCATGGCGAGGTTCTTCTTCATTCTCTGGCTTATAAATCTTTTGTACCTCATCAATAATAAAAAATGTTGGTTTATCACATTTATCGATAAATTCATTCCAAGTCACATTCATAAGTTCTTTAAATCTTTCTGCAAATGTCCATTATACATCATCTCTTTCCATCCATAGCAATGAAATGCGGAAAACACGTTTCAATCCTTTTTTTACTTCGTCTGATTGGAGCAGGCTATGCTCAAGTAGTTGCGCAAGTGCAGTTTTTCCGGCCATTGGTGGTGACCGGACTAGAATAATACGTCTCTCAAGCAGACATTTAAGCAGTCTGTGGGTAGTTGGTTCTCTCTTACATACGGTACCAAGAGTAATATCAACACCTTCGTAGGCATCACCATGTTCTTCTCCCTGATAAGTTGTTCCTCCAAGTCCTCCTATTCAATGCAAAAATGGGATAACAAAATGAATAAAATGCACATTGATACGAAAGTCAAAAGATTATAGCTTTATACCCAGCCTTGATATTCCTTTCTTGTTTTTAGACGCATCTGTTGAGTTGTTATTGTATGAAAGCGATAAACAGATCAGAAGAGAGAAATTAGTTAACCAAATTCCCTTGTTCAAAAGGTAAACCATTAGGAGACATTTACCAATGGTAACAGGACGTACGATTATATGGATGATTTCATCCGGAGGTGCGTATCCTTCTGGAAAAAACTTCCTAAACTTACTAATATTGCTCATTTCCCTACCTTCGAGCTGTTCAATTTCAGTTTTGGTAAGAGAATTGTTAAGTTTTTCCTGAGGAACTTCGACTTTCCAAAGTACTAATTCATTGCAATCCTTAATATTTTCCATATCACGCCATTTCCCTACTCTATTCCATATCAGTTGCTTGAGATGATCGACAGTGAGATTGTTGATAGAAACTTCATGACTATCTGATATTTTATTTCTTTCGCAAATATCAACTGATATAGCACACCCGGGACCTACAACAAAACAGGATAATACTATTTCGGCCATATTTCTGAAAACGAAAAATCCAAAGTTAAAAACAAAGGTTGAAACCAATTTTTTAGTAAAATATAAATAATGACCTTAGCCGACGACCGTTTGAATGAATCGACATTTCAGATATTCCCGAAGGCAGTCACAAGAGGTGGCTATACATATTATCCAACAGAAGTATATACGTGTATATATTTTTTCGTGTCACCGGTGCAAGTGGTAAATCCTTTCAAACTTTTCTCGATAATATAAACTTACCGCGGAAATAGCAAACATCAACACACGTGATGCCAACTACACTACGGAGGCGTAGAGAATTTTAAGAATGATCGATAATATAACCGAGAGACTCAAATATTAAAAAGAAGGATGGTTATATTAGTACTTTAGATCAAATTGGTTTATGCATTGATAGTAAACCAAATAACCTAGGTAGCGAGTAGCGGGAAAGGAACTGTCATCATATGGGTTAGGGCTCGGCAGATTTCCTCCCTTGAAACATCCTGCTGCGATGTGCAATAAAAAAAATTCGCTTTATTGTAACAATAAAATATATAGGCACACAGACGACTGATACTTCGATATAAATGCATCGTTTATAAATGTATATTGTCTGCGAAGCAAGGAATTCTGTATCTAATAGGCATAGATTGAACGGTTCGATTTTGTATAAGTTTCGCCGGTATTTAAATCATAATAGTTAACTTCATCATCGTCATCAGAAAAACCGTAGAAACTACCATCTTCTTCGTTATCATTGGTGAATTCATCATCGGATAAAGCAGTAATTAAAGATTGTGGTTTATTATCATTTGTATCACTTACTTCACTTACCTCGGTTCCAGTAGATGCATTTACCGAAGCTTCTGGTACTTCCGAATCTTGATCATCTGAAGAATTGTCCTGTTCATCGGTATATTCTATATTAAGCTTTTTAAAGTGATCTATAATCATTTGAATCTGAGGATTAGTAAATTTCGAAATAACATTTGCACTATATGGTCTAATATATTGGACCTTATCTAAACCTATTTTTTCGAATAGGTTCTAAAATTTTTCTAGCTCTTTCTGTTTGCTTCTGTAATTTATTACGTTTAGTATCAAGCTGTGCAATAATAAAATTATAGATTTGTCCTTTTGCTTTTTTCTCACCAACCTGCTCATTTTTCATAGTCTTTAACTTGATTATCGAACTCAATAACGTAATGGTACCAGCATAAAATTTCATCTTGATTGGCCTTCATTGCTTGTTTTTCCGCATCACGAGCTTTCCGATATAAGGTGGTCAAATTTAGTAAAGCTTTGCTTCTTGATACAGAAAGTATAGTTACAGTACTTACATGATTTTCGCTGACATTCGAATTTTGGGTCAGCAAAATTTCAGTCACATGATCCGGAGACATGGAGTTATAATCTTGGATAGATGGAGATGCATCGTTACCTGCAGATATTTCCTGGATAAAGCCTTGTTCACGGGAGATAATAGGAACGATATTCTGGGAAGTTATGATTGTCTCTTGATCTCGAAGTTTCTTCTCTTTAATCTTTTGAATTGTCTCTTTACTAACCGTTTCTCTATGCTTCTTATCCAGGAATTCATTTTCTTCCTTCTCATCCAATGATATTAATATGGTTTCTGCGGGAGATATAAGGATTACCGAATCCTGGTATACTGTATATCAGAATTAGATGTGTTAGATTTCTCATGGGCGCCACTAGAATTTAAAGTGTTATCGGTTATCACATTGTTGCACTATCTGTTTTGGAATATTGTTAGAATTTACTGGAGATTGCAAAACGTCTTCCATAGGCTCGAAGAGCCATTGCTCTGCAATAGAAATATTTTTTCTTTTCCCCCCTGTTCTAATATAGAGAGCCTAGTCTCAAGCTCTATATTCTTTTGCTCTAATTCCTTGACTCTAGTATCGCGTTTTGTATAACCTGCTTTGGCCTCACATTCTCAGCCTCGGCCTCAGCAAACTTCTTTCTAAGTTCAGCGATCTGGCGAACGAGATCAGAATTCAATTCTCTCAATGTTTTAATTGTGGATTGAGTGTCTCCGTTGTTTTATACAAGATGTAATATGTTTAAAAGTTCGAGTCTGATAAAATCACGTGTTATGCGCGAACTTTTTCATCAAAATAGATCATAA